GTCACCCCTCAGCTGTCGTTTCTCCAAGTGAAAGAGCCCCAAGCTTCTGAGCCGTCTGTGCAAAGTGTGCCCCCCCCCCCGAATGTGCACATTTGGGAACGGGATGCTTCACGTCCTAACCAATGCTCCCTCTAAGCTGTGGAGTGTTGTGAGCAAAAAAAATCTACTTTGTGAGCTGCTGGCATTAAAGTTGTGAGCGAGCGATTTGGCTGCTGCATAAAGTAGTTTGCTCTGGAGCCCCATCCTTCCTGAGCGAAGACAAAAATGTGTGAGCCGGAGGCTAAAAAACTGTGAGCTGGCTCACGCCAACTTAGCTTAGAGGGAACACTGGTCCTAACTCCTTCCTGTACCAAAGCTGCTCTTTAGCCGGTGTGGGGCAGACAATTCCTTCTCTGTGGTAAGGAGTCAGCCCAGCTTTCAGGTCCTTCCCCCCCCCCTTCTGCGAGGGGACACCTGTTGAGCAGCAAGGAATACTTTCTGACCAAACCGGGCAGCCGGCCAACCAGAAAGGCTTGATCTCATTCTCCCATCGTGCCAGCCTGGAAGTTGCCCGGCCTCTTCTGCCACCAGGATCTCCCGCAAGCCGTTCCAGGGGGGAGGGCGCAGGACTCGTTCTCCTGGCTCTGCCGCTGTGCCAGTCTGCAGGGAGAGGAGTTTTGCGTGGAAAATAAGATGAGGCCTCCTTGCCTTGAAAGAGCAGAGGAGGTGAAACTCGGGCTGTACCAGCTGCGACTGCAGGTGCTCTTTTGCACCAAACAGAACTCCCTCTGGGCACAGAACCGCCATGTCAGTGAGATGACCTGGCCCTGCCAGACTCTCTGGAGTGCCACGGTATTGTTTCCCCCCCCCCATGGGAGAACCGTGGCCTGTCCCAATTTCCCCCTCGCCCTGTCCATGATAACAAGAGGAGGAGATTGGATTTATCCCCCGCCCTTCACTACCCAGAGGAGTCTCAGAGCGGCTGACAAACTCCTTTCCCTTCCCCTCCCCACAACAGACACACCCTGTGAGGTCGGTGGGGCTGAGAGAGCTATGATAGAAACTGCTCTTTTCCAAGAACAGCTCTTATCAGAACTACGGCTTGCCCAAGGTCATCCAGCCAGGTGCAAGCGGAGGAGGAGGAGAAGAAGAAGAAGAGGAGGAGAAGAGACTGGATTTATACCCTGCCCTTCACTACCCAAAGGTGTCTCAGAGCGGCTGACAAACTCCTTTCCCTTCCCCTCCCCACAACAGACCCCCTGCGAGGTAGGCGGGGCTGAGAGAGCTCTTGACAGAAACTGCTCTTTTTCAAGAACAGCCCTTATCAGAACTATGGCTTGCCCAAGGTCATCCAGCCAGGTGCAAGTGGAGGAGGAGTGGGGAATCAAACCCCGTTCTCCCAGATTAGAGTCCGCGCACTTAACCACGACACCAAACAGTCCAAAACCAGGGTGAGTTCTTCCTCTCCCGCTGTCCGAGAGACCCTGGCCTGCCTGCCTTCCACTTCACCAGCACTTCCTGCAAGAAGACGGGAATCCGTTCTCATCATCCCCATCTGAGCAGGTCTGTTCCAGTTACGGGTCTCTACCGAGCAGAGCAGCGAGCTCAATCCTCCAAGGAGGAGAGGGAATTGGTTCCGTGAGGGGGGAGGGAAGGGCCGCTCTCCCCCCCCCCAAGGAATTCTCAGCGGTGTTGTCAAACTGCATTTCCCAGGATTCTTTGAGGGCACTCAAGATAGCAAAAGTGGACTCTATGTTTGTTTTTGCGTGGGGCGTTCAGGAGGACCTTCTCAAGCTTGCGAGGGTGGAGCGTCCCCGGGGTGTAGAGAAACCCACTTGTCAGGAGAAGTGGGGGGAAACATCCGTCTGGGATGGGCGTGAGTGGGCTAGATCCATGAGGCACGCGACTGGTGGGGGGGGGCTCTTGAGGAAGCACCCAGCTGTGCAGCCCCAGAGGTGCTGAATTGTTGGGAGGGGAGGCCGCTCGGTCCTTCGAGAAGAATGCCTTGAGAATTGGGGCTTCTAGTTTCAGACTGGATCGATGGCCACGCTGGGTCGGTCTTCCAGTGTTCGCCTGTTGTAACTTTCCCCGAAGAATCCTGGGAGTTGTAGTTTGGTGAAGGTGTCACAATGGCTGTTTGGGGGAGCAACTCTCCCCCTCCCCCTCCTCGTTGTTGTTCCAGTATCATAAAAGTGGGCTCTCAGTGTTGGGGGGATGGGGGGGGGGGGGGACACCTGCAGTTGATCCTTCCTCAATCCCGCCGTACAGCCCAGCCGAGTTACGTAGAAATCCAAGTTTTGATAGGTGTCTGTTGATGTTCCGGAATGCGAAGTCCATTGCAATTCTTTCTCTTTGCGTTTTGCATACAGCTCGTTGTTGTTGTTGCTTAAACTGGCGTGGTAAACTGGCCAATTCAGGTAGTGGTGGGTTGTTGTTTTTAAATCTGCCGGCGGAAGGAATTCTGTTTTTGTTTTGTTGTTGTTCAGTCGCACAGTCGTCCAAGGCAAACCGTTCAGCATCACAGTCATCCAAGTCTGTGCACCAGCCGCTGACGCAGAAGAGGCTGAAGTGGACCTGTAGAACCAGGGGTCATTTTGTAGAAAAAGAGGTGCAGGAGCTCATTAGCATAACTTATTTGCATATGCCACACCCTCTGACATCACCGGAAGCTCAGGCTCCACTGGACTGTTTTGGATTGCTAGCTTTTTTTGGGGGGGGGGGTGGCGACGTGCAGATCTGTCCTGTGCAGGGGTCATTTCGTAGAAAAAGAGGTGCAGGAGCTCATTAGCATAGCTTATTAGCATAGCTTATTTGCATATGCCACACCCCCTGACATCACCGGAAGTGTGTCAGAAGGCAACACCCACCGCTCAGGCTCCACTGGACTGTTTTGGATTACTAGCTATTGGGGGGGGGGGAGAATGTGCAGATCTGTCCTCGCAGAGGAGGGAGAGCTTGTACCTGAATAAAACTTGGTCTTAAAGGTGCCACTGGACTGTTTTGGGTTGCTAGCTATGGGGGGGGGGGACGTGCAGATCTGCCCTCACAGAGGAGGGAGAGCTTATACCTGAAGGCGGGCGGGGGGTTGGCTCTGCAACTTACCTGGCTGCTTCTTGCTCCTTGTAGCCTGACTGAGGACTGCTGGGAGCAGGGGGTGGGGCTTGTTGCATGTGCCCGCCCCCTGGCCTCCTTACTGCCGGAGCTTTGCTTCTGTGCGCTCCCACAGGAAATGACCCTTGCTATAGACTCTAGCAAAACAAAAAAATGTATTACTTGGGAAGGATGCCTAGAACTGAACTCCGGTGCCTGCTAGAATCGCAGAGGATTTGAAACTTGGAGGGTTCCACCAGGCTGACCCCGTGCGGTTAGAGAACGGGGTTGGGGAATAGAGACAGTCAGCAGTCCTTTTTTGGTGCGGCCGTGGTCTTGGCATGGTAGGGACCGGACGTCTCGCCAGGAGCTGTGACTGGTATCCTCGGAGGTATAACACAGAAAGGAATACTCTCTGTGTCACACTTCCTTGGATCTGCTTGATCTCTAAGAACTCCTTGACACAGAGAGTACTCCACCTTTCTGTGTTATACCTCTGAGGATGTCAGTCACAGCTACTGGCGAAACGCCAGGTCCTACCATGCCAAGACCACGACCACGCAGCCTGGAAAACCTACAGCAACTAATGAACTCCGGCCGTGAAAGCCATGGACAACATATTAAGGGAATAATTACTTGTAGCCTTTCTTCTTGATAGAATTCATGCTGCAAAAGTATATGTGTGATAGATTCAACCACTTTTATTTGAACCGGGGCAGCAACGCTGCTGCAAGGACAGCCGGGAGAATCTTCCGTACCAAACTGTGGAGGGAAATGCGTCAAACCGTGCTCTAGAGGAGGCCCATCTGCATCTTTTGTTTGTAGTATCCGAAAGATATGGGGATATAGTGCAGCTCAATCCTTTTCTTAAGCTTTTATAGTTTAAAGGAAGTATTGCGTCGTCATTTTGGGGACTCTATTATCAATTTCTTCTTTGCGTGCAGAAGGTCCCGTCGTTTCCAGGCAAACAGGCTGGGTAGTAGGTGACTGACGGAAGGACCCTTTTCCCACCTGAGATGCCGGAGTCTTGTAGGTTTCCAGCCTGGGCCTTCCATGCACAGAGTTAAGGGTATCTCAGAGGCACCCTGTGGTTCATTCTTGGGAGGGAGGGAGGCCGCGGCTGTGATCCGGGCGTCTGCTCTGGGACTCCTGGCCACTTAAAGCACATCCTGGGGAAGCCACTGCCCTTGGCCTTGGGCCACCAACGCATCACCGTCTCTGCTGCCGTGCCTAGCTCATTATGAGCAGGATCCTCTTATGTAATTCCTGTGCTGCTTAAAGCACCTTGTGTCAATACCCAATGCCGTGCTTCAGGTGTCTGTGGCGGTTCCAGCCTTCCAGCGCTCCGAACGCATCGGGTCTCGGATGTCCCATTTGGTCGCCGGTCCCGGCGCACCACGAGCCATCGGCCTCGTGCCCCCCATGAGGAGGGCCAAGGATAACTCACGTAAATAACAGAAATGCAGCGGCCTGTGTGGGAGCCCTGAGCCATCCTGATGGGGTCGTGTGGGTAGGAAACCGGGCCTGTCTGGGAGAGGCGTTCTTCCCGGCATACCTTATCCAGAGGCCCACCTGCCTGCCTTTTGTTTCCCGTCTGACTTCTGCGATGCCCACACACCCACCGCTCTTGCCTGCCTGGCAGGAGGGAGGCCACCTGTGGCCGTCTGGGCACCGTGAGAGCCGGGCCCGGGGAGCACGTGCCTGGCAATGTGTCTCTGGGGCTGCTGCGGGGCGGCCATGTGTTGCAAACAGCTGCCTGGCGGCACCGCCCTCCTCCCCTCCCTGCTTGTGGGCAGAGGAGAGGGGGCTGCCCGCCCAGCTGCCTGGCTCCTCCCCGCGCGTGGCGGTGCCAGGCCTGAAGAGTCAGGGAGGGAGGGAGGGAGGGAGGGAGGCCGTCGGTCTGGTCTGGTTATGTAATCGCGGGGAGACTCCAGAGCCTCGCCCTGGCGGCAGAGAGGGGACGCGCTCCTCCTGGGGGGACGGCGGAGGGGGATGCCGGTCCAGCGCCCTCCTTCTGAAGAGGGGGGGGGGCAGATGGCCCCCGGGCCCTAGCTAGAGGAGACCCCCCCCCAACTGCCCCCTCCAGACGGACGGGGAGAGGAGTCCCTCCGACTTGCGCCCGGCAGCCCCAGATGTTGTGGGAGGCGCAGCCTTTGTTTAGGTGAGCGGAAACCAGCCAGGCGACATCTGTGGCTCCGGTGCTCATCGAAGGAGCTTGTGAGATACGGCGGGGGGGGGGGGGGGGGTTCGTAGTGGTTGGAAGGGGAGGGGGGGAGTTGAAGTTCTCCTCAGCTGCAAACTCTCCAGTCGTCGTGGGTAAGCCGGGCAGGAAAATGGATGGCTTCCTTTGTCGCGGGAGTGAGTTTGTGGCGAAGCTGGGGCAGCTCAGAGGCAGAGAGTTTTCTGGGCACGCAGAAGGTCCCCGCATCTCCAGGTAAAAAGGACCAGGCAGAAGGGGATGGGAAAGACCTCCGCCTGAGACCTTGGAGAGCTGTAAAGTGGGGCTGTGGCTCAGCAGTAGAGTCTCTGCTTGGCATGCGGAAGGTCCCAGGTTCAATCCCCAGCATCTCCAGTTAAAAGGACCAGGCAGGAGGTGGTGAAAAAGACCTCCGCCCGAGACCCTGGAGAGCTGTCAAGAGGGGCCGTGGCTCAGTGGAAGAGCCTCTGCTTGGCGTGCAGAAGGTCCCAGGTTCAAGCCCCGGCATCTCCACTTAAAATGGACCAGGCAGGAGGGGATGGGAAAGACCTCTGCCTGAGACCCTGGAGAGCTGTAGAAAGGGGCCGTGGCTCAGTGGAAGAGCCTCTGCTTGGCAGGCAGAAGGTCCCAGGTTCAGTCCCCGGCAACATCTCCAGTTAAAAAGGAGCAGGCAGGAGGGGATGGGAAAGACCTCTGCCTGAGACCCTGGAGAGCTGTAAAGAGGGGCTGTGGCTCCGCAGTAGAGCCCCCGTTTGGCATGCAGAAGGTCCCAGGTTCAATCCTTGGCATCTCTAGTAGAAAAGGACCAGGCAGGAGGTGATGGGAGAGACCTCCGCCTGAGACCCTGGAGAGCTGTCAAGAGGGGCTGTGGCTCAGTGGCAGAGCCTCTGCATGGCATGCAGGAGGTCCCAGGTTCAATCCCCGGCATCTCCAGTTAAAAAGGACCAGGCAGGAGGTGACGTGAAGGAGCTCCACCTGAGACCCCGGAGAGCAGCTGCCAGTCAGAGTAGACAAGACTGACCTTGACGAGGGACTGAGTCCGTTGAAGGCAGCTTCGTGTGTTCATGTGTCCACCGCAGTGGTGTGTGGGTGCGGGTGTGTGTGTGTGTGACATTTAGTAATGTCTCAAAGGAGCGGAGTTTCTGGCCAGTACGGGTGAGTTTGTTAATGAGGTTCTTGGAGAAAGTAGTGGGGGGGGGGGGTGCATGAGCGGACGTGGCCCTGGGTATGTGGGCTAAAGGCTTCGTGGGCCGGCCAGTCGCTGAGCCAAATTTGGCTGTTGGAGGTGCTCTGGAGGTAAAGGCACCAGGGAGAGGTGGGTGGGGGCCAATGCTCCCTCTAAGCTGTGGAGTCCTGTGAGCAAAAACTCTACTTGGTGAGCTACTGGCATTAAAGTTCTGAGCGACCAGTTTGGCTGCTGCAGGAATCAGTTTTCCCTGGAGCCCCATCCCTTCCTGAGCGAAGACAAAAATGTGTGAGCCGGAGGCTAAAAAACGGTGAGCTAGCTCACACTAGCTCAGCTTAGAGGGAACACTGGACTGGGGGCTGGTGTGGGGTGGAACGTGTCCCTGCCTGAGACCCTGGAGAGCTGTAAAGAGACTTGGTTGAGCTGGAGACCTGGAGAGCTGTAAAGAGACCCTGTGCAGAGACTTGGTTTGCCAGCTCCTGGTTGGGAAAATCCAAGAGATTTGGGGGGTGGGGCCTGGGGAGGGGAGGGGCCTCGGTGAGGCAGAATGCCACAGCATCCACCCGCATAGCCATTTTCTCCAGCGGGAGCTGCTCTCTGCTGTCTGGAGGTCGGTCGTAATTCCGGGGGATGTCCAGGCCCCACCTGGAGGCTGGCAACCTTGAGGGCTGCCCACCTGGCAACTCTGGTGACTGAGCAGGGTTTTTGTGGCCTTTAGAACAGCGGCAGCAGGGAAACCTCTCTGGGCCAGTTTGGTGTAGTGGCTAGGAGCGCGGACTCTAATCTGGGAGAACCGGGTTTGATTCCCCTTCTCCGCATGCAGCTGCTGGTGTGACCTTGGGTCAGTCACGCGTTGTCTCGGAGCTGTTCTCTCAAGGGCAGTCCGCGAGAGAGCTCTCTCAGCCCCGCCTACCTCACAGGGTGTCTGTTGCGGGGAGGGGGAGGGAAAGGAGTTGGTCAGCTGCTCCTCTGGGTAGTGAAGGGCGGGGTGTAAATCCAATTTCCTCTTCCTCTTCTTTTTCGCGAGGCATTTTCAGTCGAGGAAACTCTGTAAGTGAATGTTGCGTATTTGCATTTGAACTCTTCTCCACACCCAGGCAGTCCTTTTGTTCCTCCTTCCAGACAGGTTGGTGTAGTGGTTAGGCACACGGACTCTAATTTGGGAGAACCGGGTTTGATTCCCCGCTCCTCCATGTGCAGCTGCTGATGCAACCTTGGGTCAGTCACAAGTTCTCTCAGAGCTGTTCTCCCAAGGGCAGTCCTCGGGAGAGCTCTCTCAGCCTCACAGGGTGTCTGTTGTGGGGAGGGGAAGGGGAAGGAGATTGTGAGCCGGTCTGAATCTCCTTCGGGTAGTGAAGGGTGGGGTGTAAATCCAATCTCTTCTCCTCCTCCACGTGCAGCTGCTGGTGTGACCTTGGGTCAGTCACAAGTCCTCTCAGAGCTGTTCTCTCAAGGGCAGTCCTCGGGAGAGCTCTCTCAGCCCCACCCGCCTCACAGGGTGTCTGTTGTGGGGAGGGGATGGGGAAGGAGATTGTGAGCCGGTCTGAGTCTCCTTCGGGTAGTGAAGGGCGGGGTGTAAATCCAATCTCGTCTCCTCCTCCATGTGCAGCTGCTGGTGCGACCTTGGGTCAGTCACAAGTTCTCTCAGAGCTGTTCTCTCAAGGGCAGTTATCGGGAGAGCTCTCTCAGCCCCACCCGCCTCACAGGGTGTCTGTTGTGGGGAGGGGGAAGGGGAAGGAGATTGTGAGCCGCTCTGAGTCTCCTTCGGGTAGTGAAGAGTGGGGTGTACATCCGGTCTCTCTCCCCCCAGGAGCAGCAGAGAGAGCCGCCATGCCCTCTGATCAGCCGTCCCCGCCCGGTCACCCGCTGAAGCCTGGGAAGAAGACTGGTCCAGCTCGGTCCTCGAAGTCAGAGAGCCCCGGCTCGGAGGGCAGCCCTCGGCAGGCTGTGAAGATGACGGTGGGCCTTGCGTCGAGCGGGACGTCCCATCACTTGTCGAGCGAAGTGGAGAAGGACTCGGGGTTTTCAGGTAGGGGGCCTGCAGATGGGGCGTTGGTGGTGGTGGGTGCATGTGGGAGGCCACTCCTCCGGGAAGTGCATCTGCCAGTTAACGTGCGCCCCACACACACACCCCACACACCTTGAGGTCTGCAACGCTGCAGGAGAGAGATTGGCCTCCCTGCGCTCTTGGTGCATGGAGATGTGAGGGGTCCCCCACCGGTGCCCCCAGGAGTGGTCAATTGTTACGGTAGGGGGGGGGGAACGGTGTCTTTCCTTGCTGGCAAATTCCCTTCTAGCAAGGGTTCCCTGGAGAACACCTCGGTAACCAGGTGCCGCCACCCAGGACCTCCTGCGGACATCGGGACTGATGCGACAAGAAGGTAATCTTTTAGCGCAGTACCAGAATAATAGAAACATAGAGCTGGAAGGAATCCCCCAAAGGTCATCCAGTCCAACCCCCACACGCAATGCAGGAAATTCATAGCAACCTCCTGCCCCTCCTCTGTGCCCAGAGGAAGGCAAAAAACCTCCAGGATCTCTGGTCCGAGCTGGAATCATAGAATAGAATCATGTAGTCAGAAGGGACCTCCCCAGGGTCATCTTGTCCAACCCCTTGCACAGTGCAGGAAATTCACAAATACTTCCCCCTCCACACCCGCGGTGACCCCTGTTCCACGCCCAGAAGAACTAAGAACTGTTCCATACCCAGAAGATGACCAAAACCCCTCCAGGATCCCTGGCCGAACCGGCCTGGAGAAAAATGGCTTCCTGGTCCCAAAGTGGTGATTGGCATTTCCCTGGGCATGTAAGAAAGGGGCCACGAGAGCCGAGCGCTGCCTGATACTTTCCGGCCTTCCTTCTCATGATCCGCCTACATGACAAGATAGAGACCCTGGAAAACACCTTATAACCAGCCCGGAAGCCCCCGTGCGGCCCAGCCTGTGGAGAAGAGCTTAAGAGGAATATCTTCTCGCTGGAAAATAATCTCAGAGAAGTAAATTGTACCAAGTGAAGCAAAATCGTACTAAGTGAAGCAACAATGAAGTCTTTCTGAAAAGGGTTTATTATAAAAGAGAGGATTAAAAAAGGAAGTGTTGCTGGATTTTTTTTAAAAGGTAGAAAAAGAGCAAGAAACAAAACGCAGGGGAAAGGCGCAACATGGCACGGAGACAGATTTTTAAAAATACAGTTGAAATTAACTCTGCTAAACACACGTTACCTGGGCGGTAGCAGGTTCCGCAGAGCACGTGCAGAGTTCCTTGCTCTAACACGATGGTGAAGGGGTCTGTATCTCCTTCCCAACCTCCTGTCTTCTGCAGGAGACTGAAAACTGGTCCGTCGGCGAGGCCTCCTCCGTTTGAGTTGCGGCAGAGAGGGGCCGTGGGTGCCCCGCGAGGCCTCTCTTTGGCTGGGCTCGACGTGCAGAAACACCCCTTTGGGATCTGACCTCAGCTGGAAGCGCTCTGTGCTTGGAAGCAGACAACCAGAGGCCAGACCCCTTCGCAGGGGAGTGACCCTTCAGCACAACGTCACCCTTGGGTTGGACTAGATGAAGTATTCTGTGGTTCTGTGATTCATGACACTGAGGTGGAGGGGGAGGAGAAACCCTCTGCGCTTTGTTTTTCTTCTCCAGCTGGGCTGTTCTCTTGCACCAAAGGCATTCTAAGGCATTCTGCTTCTGCGCTTGGGGCATCAGAGGCTGCGGGAACGGGGGGCATTAGAAATCAAAGGGGGGAGGCGGAGGAGCAGGGCTTTGGGTCGCCTCCCTCTGTGGATGCTGCCATCCAAGCCCGCCCAGTCATGCACTGAACTCCCTCTGTTCTCCTGCACTTCGCACAGCATCTTTACTTATAGAATCATAGAGTTGGGAAAGGACCCTACGGGCCACCTGGCCCCCCCCCCCCCCGGCTCAGTGCAGGATCAGCCTAGAGCATCCCTGACAAGCATTCGTCCGGCCGCTGCTTGGAGACTGCCAGCGAGGGGGAGCTCACCACCTCCTCCGGCAGAAAAGGGTAAAAGGTAAAGGTTCCCTTGCTCGAAAGCCAGTCGAGTCTGACTCTAGGGTTGCGGTGCTCATCTCCGTTTCCAAGCCGAAGAGCCAGCGCTGTCCGAAGACGTCTCCGTGGTCATGTGGCCAGCATGACTAAACACCAAGGCGCACGGAACGCTGTGACCTTCCCACCGAAGCGGTCCCTATTTATCTACATGCAATTTCTTGCTTTCGAACTGCTAGGTTGGCAGGAGCTGGAACTAGAGATGGGAGCTCACTCCGTCATGCGGCACCCGGGTCTCGAACTGCTGAACTACTGAACTTCCACAGCCTGCAGTTCAGCGTCTTAACCGCTTGAGCCACCGCAGCTCCCAGAAAAGGGTAGGCAGGTAATTTATATCTACTCAGGAAGGTGGGGTAGGGCTGATAATGCAAGATCACGACTCAGCCCTACCCCACCTTCCTGAGTAGATATAGATTACCTGCCTACCATTTTCCTCCTTCTCACCTTGACACAGAGAGTGCTCCATCTTTCTGTGTTGTACCTCTGAGGATACCAGTCACAGCTGCTGGCGAAATGTCAGGTCCTACCTTGCCAAGACCACAGCCACACATCCCGGAAAACCTACAGCAACTAATTTCCTTGTAAGGCTTGGTCTCCAGGCCCCCGATCATCTTCAGGGACCTGCTGCATTTTGCCCATCTCCTCCTATCGCTCCGTCTTTCTGCCGGGAAAAGAGTCACCGTCCCACTGAAATCCAGCGTCTCAGACAGCCATTAAAAGGCAGCGACACCCCAGAAATCCCCCCTGTGGTCCTAGAGCCCTCTCCCCACCATTCCTGCCATTCCATAGATTATTGCAAATGTTCATTTTAAGAGAAAAAGAAATCAAAAATGCTTCTGAGGGTGAGGAAGTGCCAAGAAGGGGGAGAGGCCTATGTCTTTGAAAAAGCCGGACCTTGGTGACGGAGGACCTTGGATTCGTGGCATGTGGCTTCCCCGTGAGTAAGCATACTTGTGGAGGAGCTGTGGCCCCCCACGTGGAGGATTTCTGGAGCACCTCCCTGGGGCAGAAACATCCCTCCCTCCCTGTGAGCGAAAGGAGGGATCCCCCCGAGGGAGAAGGGATTGGCTGGGGCCGCTCTGGCCTTCTGAAGAGGGTCTGAAACGCAGGCGGGGTTGCTTCAAGCTTCTGTTCGTCCCTTTTCTGTGGAAGTCGCTCCATGTCGAGCCTGAGATGGCGAGCACTTGGGGGGTGGGTGGGGAGATCACATTGTCTGGGGGCTTCTGGCCAGGAAGGAAAATAGCAGGAAGGGATAACTGGGGGGTTGCACCACAATGTCCCAAGCGGGGCTTGGTATATCGGTACGTTGGCTCTCTGTTCCACAAGAATCCAGGCTATGCACTAGACTCTCGCCTGACTCTCGAGAGCCAGTTTGGTGTGTAGTGGTTAGGAGCGCGGACTCTAATCTGGGAGAACAGGTAATGAAGGGCAGGGTATAAATCCAATCTCTTCTCCTTCTTCAATCAATCAGTCGTATTACATCAGCCTCCTCACATTATAAGCAGGCCTTTTATCCCTTGAGGCAGTGAGAGCCAGTTTGGTGTGTAGTGGTTAGGAGCGCGGACTCTAATCTGGGAGAACAGGTAATGAAGGGCAGGGTATAAATCCAATCTCTTCTCCTTCTTCAATCAATCAGTCGTATTACATCAGCCTCCTCACATTATAAGCAGGCCTTTTATCCCTTGAGGCAGTGAGAGCCAGTTTGGTGTGTAGTGGTTAGGAGCGCGGACTCTAATCTGGGAGAACAGGTAATGAAGGGCAGGGTATAAATCCAATCTCCTCCTCCTCCTCCTCTTCTTCACAGCAGGGCATCCTCGGTGCTGTTAAGGGGGCAGGGTTGGGGGTCCTGGGGGGGGGGGAATGCGCAGCTGAATGATTTGCCTTCCCTTTTTTGCTACCTACCTCCGTAATACTTCTTCTTCCTCCCCCCCCCTTTTTGTTCCTCTCTGTGCAGACGTGAGCTCAGACTACCTGAGCACCATAGAGCAGACCGACACGGAGGACCAGTCCGCCTCCACGCTGCGCCACCCAGCCAAGCTGCAGCAGGCACCGCAGAAGGCGTCCAGGGGACTCCCGGGCAGCACCTTCGCCGGCCTCACGCCTGTGTACATTGTCAAAAACGTCGCCCTCAAACAGGTAGCCCTCGCGAGTGGGCCCAGGCGCGGACCTTCCCTTTCCACCCCCAGAAGGAGGGGGGGCAATGCCCCCTCTAAGCTGTGGAGTCTTGTGAGCAAAAATTCCACTTTGTGAGTGACTGGCATTCATAGAATCACAGAATGTTAGAGTTGGAAGGGACCTTGCAGGTCATCTAGTCCAACCCCCTGCACTCTGCAGGAGCATAGCTGAAAGACAGCCCTACAACAGACCCGAAAGGTGGTCGTCCAGCCTCCGCTTGAAAACGTCCAGCGAAGGAGCCTCCACCACCTCCCGAGGCAGTCTCTTCCACTGCTCAACCACTCTTACAGTTAGGAAGTTTCTCCTGATATTTCGCCGGTAACGACTCCCTTGCCATTCCCACCCATTAGATCTAGCCTTGCAATCCGGAGCAAGAGAGAATAGATCTGCTCCATCTCCTACATGACAGCCCTTCAAATACTTGAAGACTGCAATCATGTCCCCTCTAAGCCTTCTCTTTCCCAGGCTGAACATCCCCAATTCTTTCAGCCTTTCCTCGTAAGACTTGGATTCAAACCCTTAAAGTTTGAATTGAAAGCATTAAACCTGTGAGCCAGCGATTTGGCTCCTGCATGAATCAGTTTGCTCTGGAGCCCCATCCTTCCTGAGCTAGGACAAAAATGTGTGAGCCGGAGGCTAAAAAACTGTGAGCTAGCACACATGGACTCAGCTTAGAGGGAACGCTGGGGGGGGGGCAGCCTGCTCCCCGATGCCCTGCGCCCGCCTGTCGCTGGCTGACGCCTGCTCTCGCTTCTTCTCTCCGCAGCCCCTGGGTGCGTCTGCCCCCGCCCAGTTCCTGGCATGGAGCGGCCAGCACTCCCTCGACGGCCTGCAGGCCTCCCCGGCCCGCGTGCTCTTCATCCAGCAGCCGCTGGCCACCCTGAAGCCCCTGCTTCCCAGCCAGAGGTCTGCCGCCAAGGCATCCTTCCCGGCCAGCCTCAGCGCTTACCCCAGAATCGCTCCTCACCCCACCCTTGACCCGCTGCCCAAGGCAGGCCCGCCGGCGGCCGCCCCAACAGGCGACACCAGCAAGAGCAAGCGCTTCTGCCTGGAAGAGGCCTGGGTCTCGTCTTCCAAGCCGGCCGCACCAAAACGCGGGGGGGAGAAGCTGGGAGGAGGGGAGCCACCGCCTCCGCCTCCCTCGGACCCGCCCGCGCCCACTGCTCCCGGCCCGGAGGTCCTCCCCTCCCAGGACGCCGTCACCTCGTCCACCGGCTCCGGGACGGCCGGCTTGGACCAGGCCGAGGCGCGGATGATCTCCCGGGCCTCCAGGAAGCTGGGCTTCGGCAACCCGGGGAGGCAGCGCCGCTTCCAGAACACGGTGGAGATCCTCCAGAAGTCGGGCCTGCTGGGTATCACGCTGAGGACCAAGGAGCTGATCCGGCAGAGCGGCAACACCCAGCGGGACTTGGCCGAGCTGCGGGAGCAGGCCCAGCTCCTCTACGAGGCCGTGCAGAGCAACGACGCCCGGGCCTGGACCCGCCTCCAGGAGGCCATGAGCCGCTCCGCCGACTACTGGGCCAGCAAGGGCGCCACCTCCTACCCGCTGCGGGGGCAGCAGAGCCTGCCGGTCGAGGCCGCCGTGGCAGTGGACGGGGAGAGTCCCCCCGGGTCGCCTGTGAACTTGTCTCTAGCGCCTGACGCCTCCTCGGCGGGCCCGGGGCTGCCTTAAGCCCTTCCTCGCTTTCTTCCCGAGCGAAGGGTTGTTCTCTGAAATTGGCGTTTGGGCCCCTGACCCCCTCGGCCTCCCGCGGGAGCCCTGAGCACAAGGCCGGGCTGGCCCTCTCCGACCTGGACCACGGGCCACTTGGGACTTGGAGGGCCACGGAGATCCGGCGTGCGCTTGCAGATGGACTCTGAGAGTGGGGGCGGGGAGGGGGTGTCTTTGGGCCCTGGCAAATCGGGGCAGGCCCTGCCGGCCCGGCCTGGGGGCTCTATTGGTGTAGGGAGGGGGCGCTTGCCGGACCGGGTTGCTGGGGGAGGCGGGGAAAGACAAGCGGCTTTTGCATCGATCGCGTCACGAGCTCGGGGCTGCGTCTGTCTTCTGAGAGCGGGACTCGGCCGGGGCTTTCCGGCAACCTTCAGGGGCTCTCAGTTTGGGGGGGGGGTCTCCCCCGCCCTGGCTCTTCGGGGGGTCCTCCTGGCTGTAAGGAAGCCAGCCAGCCAGCCACCCCCACCTTCCGCCCGAACTGCCATGGGAGAAGAGAACAGCTCCCTCCCTGCAGGAGGTGAAGGGTGAGCCTGTACTGCTCCGTCTGCCTGGTGGAGAGCTCTGCCTCTCTGGAGAAGCTTGCGGGCGCTGCCGCCGCCGACCGAAGACGGTGCAATAAAAAGATATCTTTTGGCTGCCGTTCTGTGACTCTTTGTGAGTAGTGGTCGCGTCTGCGTGTGTGTGTTGACTCCAAGAAGCCTGCGTTGGAATAGCCGGCTGTTGGGTGTTTCAGGATGAACCCCACATTTAGGGCTGTTCTCTTCCCTGGTCTGGAGGGGCCAGCCCCTCCTCCACGGCAGGCACACAAAAGAAACCCCCACCCCGAAATAATCCGGTGCCTTGCTGGGGCTTGGAGGAATTGCCCAGTAGGGAGTGAAAGGAGTGAGTATGTGGTTTTTTTGGGGGGGGGGGATTTTCTCAGGCTGGAGGCTGTCAGTGCAGGAAACAGTTCTCTTCCCCCCCCAATTTTGCCTAAAACGCACCTGCTTCCCACTTGCCTTGAAAGCCCCTTGCTGGGGTCGCCATAAGAGCCAGTTTGATGTAGTGCGCAGAGTCTAATCTGGGAGAACCAGGTTTGATTCCCCACTCCTCCACTTGCAGCTGCCGGATGACCTTGGGCAAGCCATAGCTCTGTCAGAGCTGTCCTTGAAAAAGAGCAGTTTCTGTGAGAGCTCTCTCAGCCCTGCGTACCTCACAGGGTGTCTGTTGCGGGGAGGGGAAGGGAAAGGAGTTTGTAAGCCGCTCTAAGACACCTTCGGGTAGTGAAGGGCGGGGTATAAATCCAATCTCTTCTTCCGTCTCCACTTGCACCTGGCTGGATGACCTTGGGCAAGCCACAGTTCTGACAAGAGCTGTTCTTGAAAAAGAGCCGTTTCTGTCAGAGCTCTCTCAGCCCTGCCTACCTCACAGGGTGTCTGTTGTGGGAAGGGGGGAGTCTGTAAGCCGCTCTGAGACACCTTCGGGTAGTTCAGGGCGGGGTATAAATCCAGTTTCCTCTTCCTCCTAAGTTGGTTGTAACTCAACAGCCCTTTACGGAGACAGACACTTCCCGCTGAAATAAACACCAGTGCTTCTCACCATTGGCAACCTGCGATTATCTGTTTGCTCAGAAACAAGTCCTGTTCTGCCAAGCGTCTCCTCCCTGCAATTTTCCTTTTAATGTCACGGCGGGTAATAGGAATACAGAACAGTGAATTTGGCTGCAAGGTGTAAAAGCAGGGTGACTGTGTCTCCACCGCCTCCCGGAGCTGACAATGATTCACTAATGTTGTGGCTGAGAATGGGAAGTGATGAATTGCGCTGGAAGGAGATGGGGGGGGGGCGCAGGTTGGGAGAACGACCTTGTGTGGCACTTTGCTGGGGGAAAGGGAGGAAGGGGCGTTGCGGCCCAGGTTGGCACCAGAGTTGTATTTTATGCTTAAGAGGCAGCCGTGGCCCAGATACCAACAAAGATGGGAGAAGAGGAGGGGGCTTTATGTTGTCAGCCAAGCCGCTTTGAACTCTGTAAGGAAGTGAAGGAACGCAGGGGTGTCTAATGTCTTTGGTTGGATTCATAGAATGTTAGTTGGAGGGGACCTTGCAGGTCATCTAGTCCAGCCCCCTGCACTCTGCAGGAACACAGCTGAAAGAAAGCCCTACAACATACCCAAAAGAGGGTCGTCCAGCCTCCGCTTGAAAACGCCCAGCGAAGGAGCCTCCACCACCTCCCGAGGCAGTACGTTCCACTGCTCAACCACTCTCACAGGAATTTTCTCCTGATATTTAGCCGGTAACGACTCCCTTGTGATTTCCACCCATTAGACCTAGTCTTGCTGTGCTGCCTGGATGAGGGCTGAAAGACGAAGGTGGAAAGAGGGCTGCCTGGCTACGTACGCGTGTGGCCTGTCTGTCCGCCCAGGGAACAGTTTGGGCTGCGTCCTGTTAGCGACTGCTGAAGGGGAAGGCCTTGAAAAAATGCGGACTCATGCTGGATAGGAATTCTCCCCACCCCACCCATGGCTGTGAAGCGAGCTTAGGGACTGGGGCAGGCATGATCACCAGGTGGCTCTTCCAGAGGAGGAAGAAGGGCCCCTGAGGGCTTGCCAACTTCCAGGTGGGTTGCACCCCACCAGTGTTCACTGTGCAAAAAGGGTTCTAGTCCAATTACAGTCCATGAATTTGCTGCTTTTTGTTTCTTTATTTAACGTCATGCAGTGGTGGTGCTGCTCCCAACGACTGCAGATTTCCCGGGTAAACAATCTCTTTCCTCAGTGCTTCGTCAGGTCGCTTCATACTTGGGAGCCCCATGCTCTACATCTCCTAACGCAGAATTAATCTTGTATTTTCTCGGCAAGGGAAGCATTGAGTCACTGTGGTCCGTTTGTGGCTGGAACTTCCAGGAGGGCTGGAGATCTCGCATGATCCCATGAAGCTGCCTTAAACCGAATCAGACCCTCGGTCTTCCAAAGTCTTGTCTGCTCAGCCTGGCAGTGGCTCGCCAGGGTCTCGGGCAGAAAGGGGTCTTTCCCATCCCCTCCTGCCTGGTCCTCTTAGCTGGACGTGTCAGGGATTGGACCTGGGACCTTCTGCATGCCAAGCAGAGGATCGCCCACTGAGCCACAGCCCCTCCCGTCTCCTGGGCTTGCAGCCAGTGTTCCTCTAAGCTGAGTTAGTGTGAGTTACCTCACTGTTTTTTAGCCTCCGGCTCACAGATTTTTGTCTCCGCTCAGGGAGGAGGGCTCCAGACTGCAGTGTTCCCTCTAAGCTGAGTTAGTGTGAGCTAGCTCACAATTTTCTAGCCTCTGGCTCACAGATTTTTGTCTTAGCTCAGGAAGGCTGGCTCCAGAGACTAATTTATGCAGCAGCCAAATCACCTGCTCACAACTTTAATGCCAGTAGCGCACAATGTAGAATTTTTGCTCACAAGTCTCCACAGCTTAGAGGGAACACAGAGCAAACTAATTCATGCAGCAGCCAAATCACTTGCACACAACTTTAATGCCAGTAGCTCACAAAGCAGAATTTTTGCACACAAGACCTTACAGCTTAGAGGGAGCGTTGGTCACAGCTCGTCTCCAGACCAGAGAGATCAGTTCCCCTGGAGGGAATGGCTACTTTGGACAGTGGACTTTGCAGCGTTATATCCCTGCTGACCGACCTCTCTGGAGGGACAATTAAGGTCGCCAACCTCCCGGTGATGCTAAGAGAATAAAGAACTATGGAATAATCTTTATTGTATATACAATAAGATTATTGCATCATGGTTCTTTATTCTCCCAGCATCTATATGACCGTGTTCTCGCTTGTTTTTCTGCCCTCCAGGCGATGGCTGGGGGACCTCCTGGTATTGCAATGTTCCCTCTAAGCTGTGGAGTCTTGTGAGCAAAAATTCTACTTTGTGAGCTCCTGATGCATTAAAGTTGTGAGCGAGCGATTTGGCTGCTGCATGAATGAGTTTGCTCTGGAGCCCTCCTTCCTGAGCTAAGACAAAAATGTGTGAGCCGGAGGCTAAAAAAACTGTGAGCTAACTCACACTAACTCAGCTTAGAGGGAACAAAATTATTTGCAACTGATCTTCAGCTCAACACAGATCGGTTTCCCTGCACAAACTTTGCAGATCGGTTTCCCTGTGTGGCATTGCACCGTCCCCTCCCCTGCCTCCAGGCCCCCTAAATCTCCATGAATTGGCAAACTAAACCCCCGAGCCCTTTTGCCAAAAATCCCTCCTAAGGGCCATGCAGAGGTGTGCAATGCGCCTCCCCGCCACAGAGGGCGTGCTGAGCTAGAGGTAGAGGCATTTCCGGTTCCGGCCAGGAAACAAGATGGGGAGCCATGGAGATGGCGGCCTAGAGCGGCCGCACACGGCTCTACGAGGCGGGGAAGAGCGGCTCTTCCTCTCGCCCGCCGTCCCAAAGGGTCGCGCCCGAAACGGACTGGATAACCATAGAGCCGGCCTTTCCTCCCTCCTTTTTACCGACCACAGAGACGAAAAAAGGTCTTCTCTGTGTCGGACTCCGCTTCTCAACCACAGAGTCGGGAAGAGGACCAGAAAATTGCCGCGCCTAGAAGAACCGGCGTGTCTGACGGGAGGAGGACCCCGGGAGGCGGCGGGCGGGCTTCAGTCGCCGAGGCTCGATTAGCCGCGCTAGCCGTCTAACTCCATGATGCCGAGGCCTTAGAAACGTCTCCGCCGCGCAGGAGGTGGTGCGCATGCGCCAGGGGCAGGTGAGCCTTGGCCATTGGCCGAGCAACAGCCAATCGGGAAGCGCCTCTTAGGGCAGTCAGGTGGAGGGAGGCGTTGCTATGGGGATTTCAGGAGGGGTTTGAGGAAAGGAGGTCATGACCCCGGGGATGTTTCCCGGATGCCAGGAAGTCTCTGCCCGCAGAGAGATTCCAATTCCTTCCCTGCAGCTGGGGAGGGATGGCAATAGGCGCTTAGCCAAATATTGGCTAGAATGCATCTGCTTTTGCAGAAGCAAAGTTTGTTAACGTAAGGGTTCCTATTCTGTGTTCCTTTATGCCAGAGGATCCTTATGCCATTAATGAAAGACACCTGTAAATATATGAGAGACCTCCCCGTTGACAATAGTTAAAGATATAGAAACAACCAGGGAAACGTTTTGTATATAATGCAAAAAATACTATATTGAAATTCTATACAAAGTGTAAATTAATTTTTAAAGTGCTTGATTCATAAATTCATAGAAGATCACCTATACGTTCATACATAAAAATCTCAATATTTAATAGTGTGCAGCAGACTGGACTGGAGCCTGATATGATTGTTGTTTCCTATTTGGAATATAAGCTTTGATAAGCAGAGAGGAAAGTTTTGGAAAACAAAAGAGACGACACTCACAAAATGGTATACAAGAAACTTTATTGTGCAAATTGATGAATAAGAGAATATACCTCTGAAGAAGTCTAGGAGCGAAATGAAGACTCATGCCGGAAGCTTCATTAATGCATCAATGTACTGTGATTCTCTTAATGTATTGTGATTCGCTTACAAAATATTGAGATTTTTATGTATGAACAGGTGATCTTCTATGAATTTATGAATCAAGCACTTTAAAAATTAATTTACGCTTTGTATAAAATTTTAATAGAGTATTTATTGCATTATATACAAAACGTTTCCCTGGTTGTTTCTATACCTTTAATTAATATAAGACATGCAATAAAAACCAGTACTTTATTGTCAAGCATTAATCACTAAGAGAAGAAAGCTTGAGTCCAGGGGCACCTTTAAGACCAACAAAGTCTAATTCTGGGTATAAACATTCGTGTACATGCACAGCACACGAAAGCTCATACCCAGAATTAAACATTGTTGACCTTAACGGAGCCACTGGACTCAAGCTTTGTTCTGTTGCTTCAGACCGTAGAATCATGGAATGTTAGAGTTGGAAGGGACCTTGCAGGTCATCTAGTCCAGCCCCCTGTACTCCGCAGGAGCACAGCCGAAAGATAGCCCTAAAACAGACCCGAAAGATGGTCGCCCAGCCTCCGCTTGAAAACATCCAGCAAAGGAGCCTCCACCACCTCCCGAGGCAGACTGTTCCACTGCTCAATCACTCTTACAGTCAGGAAGTTTCTCCTGATATTTAGCCAGTAAGGACTCCCTTGTAATTCCCACCTATTAGATCTAGTCTTGAAATCCGGAGCAAGATGTGCTCCACCTTCTACATGACAGCCCTTCAAATATCTGAAGACTGCAACCATGTCCCCTCTAAGCCTTCTCTTTCCCAGGCTAAACAGACCCGACTCTTTTAGTCTTTCCTCGTAAGACTTGGACTCCAACCCTCTCACCATCCTGGTTGCCCTCTTCTGGACACGCTCGAGCTTGTCAACGTCCTTCCTAAAATGTGGTGCCCAAAACTGGACACAGGACTCCAGGTCCAACACGGCGACCCGCCTGAATCTGTTAATCACTCATGTTTATAAAAAGAAAAGACCAGCCAGTGCTTGATGCAAATGTTGCATCATTCCCTTCATAGATTAAAACCTGGCTGTAAAAGATGCATCCTGTGAATTTTATGGAAGTTCGGTAAGGTTGCCAGCCTAACCGGTATGGGAGTGCAGCTGGATTTGAATCCAGTAGCTCTTTACAGACCAAGATTGGGTGGACGGATATGAGCTTTCGAGAGCCAAAGCTTTGTGTCAGATATGCAGGTGGATTCCCTGAGCCGGGTGTTTGTGAAGTTGCAGATCTGAGCTGATGTCAGGAGACTGCCCATAGAGGCGGTGGTGCTGATCGTGAGAGGTATGGGGGGTAGGTTTAGGGTCCAGGGTATGAGAGGCTTTTATCAGCATGTGGAGCTGAACCCTGGAGCAGATTTCTAGCAAGTGCAGCTTCAGTAATCCAGGTTAAAGATTATCTTTGTCCCTTTACCCACATATATAGGGGGCAGCCACATTTGATATGAGTTGAGCCATGTTGTCTTCAAGGGCAGCCTGTTTTAGAGCACATTGCAGTAGTCAAGTCTGGAAGCTACTGCTTTGCGAATCAGCAAGGCAAGGTCAGCTCTGTCAAGGAATGTCTACATTCTTCTTTAAAGTAAAAAATAAAGCAGACCTCCAAGAAGGATAGGTCTTATATTAAAAAAATAAATTAACATAGAAAAATACGGGCTAACTGCTGATGTCTGTTCAGCTTCATCACTGCCTTTATGGCATCCTTCCTTCCCTCTTCTTCCTACTCGGATGCCTTGTCCGCTGCTTTCGACATTCTCCTGCTTGTTGTCTTGTTCCCTTCATGCAAAACAAAAATAGGGACCAGGTTGGAACAAATCCAAAACAAATCAAATGCTCACCTTGACACAGAGAGTACTCCATCTTTCTGTGTTATACCTCTGAGGATGCCAGTCACAGCTAGTGGCGAAATGTCAGGTTCTACAATGCCAAGACCACTGCCGCACAACCCGGAAAATCCACAGCAACTAAAGCAAACACCGTGTATAAAAATTCTAAAAAGGCAAGTAAAATAATTTTGATAGACTATAAAGATATTAAAGGCCAGATAAAGGCCAAATCAGTCAATCCTAAAAGAAATCAACCCTGACTGTTCCCTGGAAGGCCAGGTAATGAAACTGAAGCCAGGTAATGAAACTGAAACCCCACCCCCATAAACTCTGTGGCCATAGTTAGGGTAATTTGTGTGACTAGCACCATATGTAAGCCGCTCAGAGACCCCCTGAGAAAGGGGGTTCGAGCGGGATATAAAGTCTAAAGTTAAATAAATAAATAAATAAATAAATACTTTGGCCACCAAATGAGAAGGGAGCACTCACTGGAGAAGACCCTGATGCTGGGAAAGATTGAAGGTCAAAAAAGACGGGGACGGCATAGGATGAGATGGTTAGACAGTGTCATAGATGCAACGAACATGAAATTGAGCAAACTCCAGAGGACGGCGGAAGACCGGAAGGCCTGGCGTAGTCTGGTCCATGGGGTCGCGAAGAGTCGGACTTGACTGTGCGACTGAACAACAACAAAAATCATAATATTAAGCAAGTGTAGTCAACATATATACAACATGAGAAAAATAAACTCACAAATTCTGATGCACCATAAAGTTCAGACATAAACAAGAGACCAAAAACTTTCCCCGTGTTTGTTGTAAGGATGGAGACTGGTTCCAGAAAATAATTTATACAAGGAATTGGTAAGAGTTATTTTCATTGTATGCTAACATTTACTATGAACAGTGTTCCCTCTAAGCTGAGTTAGTGTGAGCTAGCTCACAGTTTTTTCGCCTCCGGCTCATGCATTTTTGTCTTAGCTCAGGAAGAATGGCTCCAGAGCCAGCTAATTGATGCAGTAGCCAAATCACCTGCTCACAACTTTAATGCCAGTCGCTCACAAAGTAGGATTTTGGCTCATGAGACTCCACAGCTTAGAGGGAACATTGACTATGAATACAGAATTTTGTAAAGGATCAGTTTATATCGTATTTAAAGTGATTCTTGAGAAAGAAAGCTGGAAACGGCTTGTGCATCCGGGGAGCCGTCGGATCGCCTCTCCTGTAGTGACAGGATTGTGGTTGGCTTCTCTTACAAGTAGCAAGCTGTGGAAGAAGAATACTTCTGGATTATTAATCCTTTTACACTAGCAGGACACCTAGAAAAGAGAATCCCTGCAACTTTTTATTTCCAGATCTCTCTCTCTTGTTTACGTATGAACTTCATGGTGCATCGGAATTTGTGATTTTATTTTTCACATCTTGTACATATTTTGACATATTTTGGTAACTGCGTTCCGTGCGCCTTGGTGTTTAGTCATGCCGGCCACATGACCACGGAAACGTCTTCGGACAGCGCTGGCTCTTCGGCTTTGAAATGGAGATGAGCACCGCAACCCTAGAGTCGGATTCGACTGGCTTTCGAGCAAGGGAACCTTTACCTTTACATATTTTGACTACTTTTGCTTATTATTATGATTATTATATTTAAAATAGTATATATATATATATATATTATATACATTCCTTGTAGTCTATCAAAATCATCATACATGGTGTTTGCTTTGTTTTGGATTCGTTCCCTTCGTGGCTTGATCTGGGGGTGGGGAGGGGTTTACCTACGCTAACCTCTCTTTTCCCTTACAGAAGGTGCACTGTGAACGTCGCATTACTGGCAGTTTCTCTTCCAAGTAGACAGTGTCCCTAAGCATACTATGATGTTGGCTGTTGTGGTTCCCTTCTGACAGGTAAGGAGCCTCTTGTGCAGTTCTGGCTTCCGCGTATGTATTCCCCCTCCGAAACCGGAAAGCACCTAGACAGGGCAGAGCCGTAGTCTCAAGACGCCAGTAAGCCTTATTTCGTGCAGCAATTCATTAGCTACCTCTCTACCTTATAGGAACTTAAGGCAGCTCACAATGTAAACAATAATTAAAGGCATAAAAACCACTAATCAAGATTAATGATTTAAAACTGCCGGTAGGCAGAAGAACGAATGAGCTGCTGTCGTGAATAAAAGTGTCTTCAGCCGCTTCCTAAAGATCAAGAGTAAAAGGGGCCAGGGGCACCTAGCCGGAGAGGTTGCTCCATAGCCATGGGGCTGCCACGGAAAAGACCCTGTTTCATGTCCCCACCAGATGACGGGCTACTCAACAGGGCCTCTCTCTGTGTTGTTCCGCCTGGCCTTTGGCCAAGGTGGCGGACGTCCACTCCATTCCAGCCTCTCCCGTTTACGGTCCTCGTCGCTGTGCCTCATCCAAACTGACCCTGCTGGAAGCTTGCTGACTGCACAAGGCACTTGAATTCTCCGTCCTGTTGCCATTTACTTGTTCATGTAAACATGTTTGAGATTTTATGTTTAACTTTTTAATGTTTCTTAACCTGTATACTGTTACCCGCCCTGCGCTTGCTTGTGGGATAGGACGTGAGATAAACCAAACCAAATCGAGTCAATAAATAATACCAGGTACAGGCCCCGGTATCTCCAGTTAAAGGGCAGGAGCTCTTCTCCGACATGCAATGAAAAGCACCTTCCCCTGCCTGAGATCCCAGACAGCTGCTGCCAGAACAGACAGTCCTAAGCCAGAGAGACTAAAGGCCGCTTTGTGCAGTTGGCACAGAGTTACATACAGCCAGCCTCCAGCTACAGGGAGCAAGATGGAAGGCGGCTCTAAGAGATTCATTCTTGAATGTCGAGACAGTCTGCGACTGCAATAAAAAAAAGGCCAGCGCTATGCTGGGAATTATTAGGAAGGGAACTGAACACAAATCAGCCAGTATCATAATGCCCCTGTATAAATCAACGGTGCGACCTCATTTGGAGTACTGTGTACAGTTCTGGTCACCACACCTCAAAAAGGATATTATAGCATCGGGAAAAGTGCAGAAAAGGACAACTAGAATGATAAAAGGGTTGGGACACTTTCCCAATGAAGAAAAGTTAAAGCACTTGGGGTTCTTTAGCTTGGAGAAACGACGGCTGAGAGGTGACATTATCGAAGTTTATCAGATTATGCATGGGATAGAGCAGGTAGAGAAAGTACTTTTCTCCCTTTCTCACCATATAAGAACTCGTGGGCACTCCATGAAATTGCTGAGCAGCTGGGTTAGAACAGATAAAAGGAAGTCCATCTTCACCCAAAGAGTGATGAACACATGGAATTCACTGCCACAGGAGGTGGCGATGGCTACAAGCTTCAAGAGGGAATTAGTTAAGCATATGGAGCAAAGGTCCATTGGTGGCTCTTAGTCACAAGGTATAGACTTGGACTGCAAGAAGATCAAATCAGTCAATCCTAAAAGAAATCAACCCTGACTGTTCCCTGGAAGGCCAGATAATGAAACTGAAGCTCAAATACTTTGGCCACCCAATGAGAAGGGAGCACTCACTGGAGAAGACCCTGATGCTGGGAAAGACTGAAGGTCAAAGAAGACGGGGACGGCAAAGGATGAGATGGTTAGACAGTGTCATCGATGCAACGGACATGAAGTTGAGCCAACTTCAGAGGACGGCGGAAGACAGGAGGGCCTGGTGGGAGCTGGTCCATAGGGTCGCAAAGAGTCGGACTCGACTGTGCGACTGAACAACAACAACAACAAATAGATAGGAACTCTCGGGCTGGGGCGAGTGATGCTCTGGATTCTTGGTGCTTTGGGGGGGGCAACAGTGGGAGGGCTCCTAGTGTCCTGGCCCCACTGGTGGACCTCCTGAGGGCACCTGGTGTTTTTGGCCCCTGTGTGACAGAGTGATGGACTGGATGGGCCATTGGTCTGATCCAACATGGGCTTCTCTTGTGTTCTTATATGGAGCAGAGGTCCATCAGTGGCTATTAGCCACAAGGCGTAGATAGGAACTCTCGGTCTGGGGCAAGTAATGTTCTGTATTCTTGGTGCCTGGGGGGGGGGCGCACAGTGGGAGGGCTTCTAGTGTCCTGGCCCCACTGCTGGACCTCCTGAGGGCACCTGGTATTTCTGGCCACTGTGTGTCACAGAGTGTTGGACTGGATGGGCCTTTGGCCTGATCCAACATTGGCCTCTCTCTTGTGTTCTTATGACTGTTTCCAGGAGCTGTGGAGATGGAGCCTCCCCCGGCTGAGACCACCTCTGGAGGGAGGAAGAGGTTCACTGTGAGGACAGAGGATGAGGACGACAACGTGACACCGGTATAAAGCCGGCGGGAGGAGCTGGGATGTCTCTTGAAGGGGCCCCTCTTTTGCCTCCGCGCTCTTCCTGGTGCGGCCGCCGAGATGGGTCTTCTCCGTCTGCCTCCAGGCAGCCTTTGAACCCTGTTCTCCCCTTCCCAGGCCCAGCTGCTCTTCAAGCCTTCCAGCACTTCAAGCCCCTCCCCAGCCCCCCAGGCTCCGGTCAGGTCAGACGGGGCCACCTATGCAGACTACGTGGTGGAGAAAGCGGCCTCCGCCTCCTCCTCGGTCCCCCAGGCCAAGCCGCCGCCGGCCCTGACTGCGTCGGCCACCAGACCCCACAGCTCCCTGGCCGTGCAGGGGAACCCGGAAGACAAAGAACCGCCCTCGAACCCTGCTCCGAAACCGGGGGCAAAGCACAACTCCATCATCGTCAGTCCTCGGCAGGTGAGAGAGGGCGGAGCAAGAAATGTCCAGAAGAGGGCAACCAGGATGGTGGGAGGGTTGGAGTCCAGGTCTTACGAGGAAAGGCTGAAAGAGTCGGGTCTGTTTAGCCTGGGAAAGAGAAGGCTTAGAGGGGACACGATTGCAGTCTTCAAGTATCTGAAGGGCTGCCGTGTAGAAGACGGAGCAGATCTATTCTCTCTTGCTCCGGATTGCAAGACTAGGTCTAATGGGTGGAAATTACAAGGGAGTCGTTACCGGCTAAATATCAGGAGAAACTTCCTAACTATCAGAGTGGTTGAGCAGTGGAACGGACTGCCTCGGGAGGTGGTGGAGGCTCCTTCGCTGGACATTTTCAAGCAGAGGCTGGATGACCATCTTTTGGGTATATTGTAGGTATGTAGGGCTGTCTTTCGGCTCTGCTCCCACAGAGTGCAGGGGGTTGGGCTAGATGACCTTCAAGGTCCCTTCCAACTCTAACATTCTATGATTCTATGATAAGAAGGAACGCCTGGCCCAGCCTCCGGCTCACACGTTTTTGTCCTAGCTCAGGAAGGAGGGCTCCGGGCCAAACTCTTTTTTTTTTAATTCACAATTTATTAATTTCTGTAGTGCGCGATAATTACAGAACATTGAACTATTTTCCAACAGTCCTACAATTATAGCCAGTTTGGTGTAGTGGTTAAGTGCGCGGACTCTAATCTGGGAGGACTGGGTTTGATTCCCCACTCCTCCACTTCCACTTGGCTGGATGACCTTGGGCAAGCCGTAGTTCTGACAAGAGCTGTTCTTGAAAAAGAGCAGTTTCTGTCAGAGCTCTCTCAGCCCCACCTACCTCACGGGGTGTTTGTTTGTCTGTTGTGGGGAGGGGAAGGGAAAAGGAGTTTGTATAAGCCGCTCTGAGACTCCTTTGGGTAGTGAAGGGCCATGGGGTATAAATCCAATCTCTTCTTCTTCTTCATAAATCCATTTCCTTAAGTCAACATTGCTTCCCAAAGATTGCAATAATTCATCTGAATGTAGCTGCTGTGCTGCAGACCAACACGGCCGCCCTCTAGAAGTGTCCTCCTTGGCAATGAGTGGAAAGCACTCTGCATGTGGTCAGAGGTCATCTTTATCTTTGCCAGTGGTCCATCTGGGCCAGGCTGAGCCCGACTGTTTCGAGGCCTCCTGGTTGCAGAGGGAGTTTTGAAAATGTTCCCAGTTCCTGAGGAAAAACCAGGCCGCTTTCATTCCGCTCCCTCTCCCGTGGGTGCCAGCTCACTTGCGGGATCCTGATCCGGTGGCCACGGGCGGCAGAGCGAGGTGGTCTCTCCTGTCTTCACTCTCAGACCCTGACTTGGGCTTCCCTTCTTTCCTCAGAGGGGGAACCCCATCCTGAAGTTTATCCGGAACGTGCCGTGGGAGTTCGGTGAGATCGTCCCCGATTATGTCCTGGGCCAGAGCACCTGTGCCCTGTTCCTGAGGTGAGCATTTGCACACGGGGCCTCACGCACGCCTACAAGCCACTGCACTTGTTCCAGAGTCCTTTGCCTGCCTCTCTAGAATAAGACGTGTTTGGTTTCCATTGAAACAATGTGAAATTCAGCTCTGCTGTTCGCCTCTTTGGCCCTGTAACCTTCAGCAGTTTTCTTCACTTCCCGCTTCCTCACCCAGGAGCACACAGTCCCTCCCACCGAGTGAGGATTCTCTGGGCAAAGCTGGCTTCAGCAATCCGGTATTGGAATGTTTGTGAACATTCCGTGACACCCTCACAGTGGTCTTCCCCCAGCCGGTGGCGTTTACAGCCAGGAAAGTGGCAATTCCTTCAAGGGCCCACCATCAGAATAACGTCGATGCGCAGCTCCAGGGACCAGGAAAGAGACAGACGGTGCCGTCACACATGCCGAACAACGCACTTCCAGTGCACTTTCGTGATCGTTGGCGAGTGGATTTTACTGTGTGAAACAGCCGCAAAGTGCATTGAAAGTGCGTTATTCAGTGTGATGTTTCCCCCCCACCGTTGGGCACATTGAAGGCTCTTCTCATAAAAGAGCTGTGTTTGGGCTCCAGAACTAGGGTGCCTGGTCCTGACCCGTCAGTCTGGCCCCACTTGGTTGTTGTCCGGGGGGGGGGGGGGTTCCCCCGTCTGACTTCCCAGGGGGC